GCAACACGAAGTGACCTGTCATCTTGCATCTTCACGAGCGCAACACGAGCGGCGGTTCTCATCGCTTGGGCACGAGCAAGGCCTTCATCAGTTAAGGCTGCGGTGCTAGCAATCACGGATTGTGGCTCATTCAACAAGTCGTGAGGGATGTGAGGATTTCTGCCAAACACGAACTGGTGAGGGGAGAATCCATGGACCTGAAGCATTTGGTTCTTCACATGGGCATGAGCTACACAATCTAACCATGATTCCTTGCTGTTCGGTTGAAATTCATCAATGAGTTTTTCCAGGACTCGATTGAACCAACCGCCATGAGATTCACACTTGCCTAGTTGCCAATGAGCTCCGGCAGCAATTGTGCGAACATGGATGCCATCTGCTTCGGCAGGTTTCATCATTTGTTCACCTAAATTAGTTCTAGCAGGATCGAGAACTAACTCCTTTGGCGCTCCAGCCCAGGCAATCCAATGTTCATGCAAAAGCTTCCGAAGGACTGAGGCAGTCTCGGTCTCAAAGAATGGTATCATCCTCTGGAACCCACTCGCTGTGTCCACCAGGTTCACGGCGCGAATCTTTTGATTGGGAAGCCAACCCTTCAAGTGCTTCACATCCATTCCTACCTGATGATTGAACTCGGACACGCGATTTGGTTGGGTTGGCAACGGCGATGTGGGAGGAGCCTGGCTCTTACAGAAGTCACACGAAAACTCTTTCGCCAGCCGGAGCGCTTGTTCTGATGCGTCTCCATGTTTCAAGATTCTCACCATGTCATGGTTTGGAGGATGTCCCAAGTTCTTATGAAGGCGAATCAAAACTGGCGTGAGTTCCTGATCGGACTTGGCCTGACTCTGAGCGGCGGCTAGGATCTCAGTCCACGCATCGGGATGCACAGCATCCTCTAGCACTTCTACTAGACACGCAGGGTGTGCTCGACAGGTGTTAGACGCACCATGTTCTGGATGCTTCTCCCTGAACTTGGCAAGAGTGTTTAACACGGCTTGAACAAATTCTCTAGGATACTGACCAGCATATTCGCTGACCTTGGCAACCCCTGGAGCATGACCAGCTACGGTGTCATGACAGCTGTGCTTAGCATCACCTGTACAGAGAAGTCCTAAAGACTGCATATCGGAGTGCGAAACTAACAGACGGGCGCTCTTACGAATGTAGTGCTCACTGGATGGCAGGCGCAATCCATACCTGCACATGTGCAACTTGACTGTTTCGAATACCCTACACAAACTCTGCATTTCTGGATATGTCCAAAGCCGGGAACCCGTTGGATGTTCAAACATTGCTCTACCACCATTCCTGGTCTGAAGTCGAAACAACTTGCAACACCAACGAATGTACGATCGGCTTTGTGCTCGACGTTTCAGGTATTCCAGTCGATCGCCCTTAGTGCTGTTTAGGTGCACCCATCCGCTCTCATCCGTGCAAGGCGGACACAAGACCAAAAGCTCTGGCGGATCTGTGATCAAATCCTCTTCCACCAGCTTCCTGTCCCGAGAACGACGAAAATCGAATCCGGTCTTTAGGTCATATGATCGCGCACGGAAGCCGGCTTCTTCGGCTTGGATGGCAAAACGTGGTGGGGAAAACACTTCCATAACCAAACATTTACCCCTGGGCCGAGCATGCACTGCTAAACATGTCTTCACCTGCGTGTCGGGATTGATGTGAAGTCAGGTTCAAACTAGATCCATGCTCATCACGTGAGGGATGCGGCACAAACGTGAACACCGTTCGAACATGAGCGAATCTCCCTGGCAAACGGTTGATGATCTTATGTTGGGGTGTCCCTGGATAGACCCTCACATCATCAAGAACCCTCCTAGATTCACAATCAATCACCTTCCTACGGACAACGCTATTCCACTTGGGACCAGTTCTTGACAACCACGGTGTACTAACAACATCACTATTCTCCTGGGTCCAAGTCAGCAAGGAAGGGGCGGCAGGATCAGGTTCACAGGCAATCTCGTCGGCAGGCACGGATGCTGTGGTGCCTGCTGAATCCGGAGGTGCAGTGTTGGACTCCGGTTCAACATCGGGAGCCTCCACTGAAGCCATCACCTCATCGAAAGAGGCAGCAAACACTGGATCCGCTGGCTGTCCTACCAAGTGAACAATGTACTGTCCGGCACTGTTGGTCTTGAGTGGCACCACTTGTTGAAAAACATGTAAACAGTCTTTCTCAAAATTCAACGTTGCCCCCAAGGCTTTCAATGCTGATCTGCTCAACAACAGGGGGGCGTCCCCCTTGATGATTGCTGCTTTGATCACTCCTCGCTTGGATGCCAGAATGACTGGCATGGCCACCGAATGGGTTGAGGTCTCAATATCACCATTCCCAAACTTAAACTGGTGGATCTCTTCCGTCCATGGAGGGACGGCCCACCCACGCTGTCGCCACAGGGTCTCAAAACAACGAAGGGTGTTGATTCCAACAATCGTTCGGCCACAGCCTGAATCCAGCACGGCATAGCCGGGGGATGATACCAACAAGGTCTCTTCCGGGAGGGGATGCGAAGCAAACAAGGAGTCCTGCCGCTTTTGTCGGACCTGCTCAAGAAGGGTGAGTTGGGGAACCACTGATGCAACAAAATCCAACTCTTCAACGGCAGCAATACCTGTGGTCGAGGCATCATTGGACTTTGAGGAGGAGGATGCGCCTTTCCCTGAGCCCTTCTTGTTGACCTCCTTGGAACGACACTCCCGGGCCCAGTGACCCTTCCTACCACAGCGATTGCATGCAGTGTGCCTTTTCATTTCTTCCACTTCCACCCGAAAGGATCTTCGGACGTCCTTGGCCTTGTTGAACTGTCGGGATTTCTGAAGCTTGTTCAACTCCTGTCGACGTTCACGTGGCGGCCAGGACTTCTGCTACTTCTGACTCCTGAAAGGTGTCTCCATCACCAGTGAAATCTGAGGCCAGCTGGTGATCCTCAAGTAGCTGATCAACATCGGAGAAGTGCTCTTCCCACAAGTCGGACGGATCTTCGGCTTCTGGGTCAGCGTCTTCCGCCAGGGCAATGGCGGTACGCCTTTTGGTAATCACCAACTCCGGGTAGCAGGACCGTAAGGCAGCAGCTATGGATTCTCTCTTCAAGTCTCCTCGAGCTCTAGAAATCACCACAGCTTTCTGCTCTTCACTAAGGCCAGCTCTATGGAGAAGGAGCCAACCACGAGCTTCATCGGGAAACTGGACACCGGTCTTCCGGTAGCATCGATCGAACAGTTCCGAGGCTCGGGCAGTCCATTGCTTCATATTCTCACCTTCATTGGATCGAAGGTGAAATACCTGACCCAGAATCTCCCCTAACTCGTCCACAGTCTCAAGCTGTGGAAACCTCTTGTCCAACAATTCCCAAAGTACTTGGTCACCATCTTTCTTCTGATACAGCGCTGGATCAACATGTTCCACCGCCTCCAAAGCCTTGCCACTCAAAAGAGTGTAGATGTAAGCGCCCCGTGCGCTCTCAGGAAGCTTGTCCAAAGTCAAAAACTTGTTTTTAACCCAGGTCTTCCACCGCTTATATTCGCGGCCATCTTCATTTTCACCTGAAAACCCTCGAACCGCAGCGCTATCGGACGCGCTAGCCGCTGCAGCCATGTCACGTGTGAGGACCTCCACCGAGAGGTCGTGCAATCAAGCAGCCATGGCGGGAGCCGGGATACCCGGCTCCGCTACCAATTGCGGAGTACAAGATTCCTCCCCTGAGGAACTACGATCGGGCGTTCCTTTCACTCGAGCATGGAAGTCCCTCGACCGACCGCCGAAGTCACGTGTGGACAATTCGATATGTATGTATGTATGTATGTATGTATGTATGTATGTATGTATGTAT